ATAATATTTCCTATATTCTTATAATATTTAAATCCTCGGTAGGCGGCGATAACCAATTACTTACTTTGTCAATTGATGACGTAGCTGTGTTCTTCTAATTGTAATCGGACCCTAATTTGTTAAATTATTTTTTTTAAATTGTATAACAGAATTTTTTTATTTGCAGGTTTCCGTTCTTATAAAACAAGATCGAAATATATCGACGGACATTTTGGTAAAGATTTCGTTTGTGAATTTTGTGGAATATATATGATAAAAATGAATTTTTTTCGGCACCAATTTATTCATGTAGTAAAAAATAGATCAAGAAAAGTTTCTCTGATAATCAATGACGTTTCCAGCATACAGACACATTTAATAATTAACAATGATGAAAAACCATTTAAATGTGACATTTGTTCCAAAGGATTTAATTATAAATCTAGTTTACAACTACATTTAAAAACTTATAGTAATGAAAAACCATTTAAATGCGACATGTGTTCCAAAGGATTTAATCTAAAATTTAATTTAAAACAACATTTAATAATTCACAGTAATAAAAAATCATTTAAATGTGACATTTGTTCCAAAAGATTTAATTATAAATCTAATTTACAACAACATTTAATAATTCACAGTAATGAAAAATCATTTAAATGTGAGATTTGTTCAATAGGATTTAATCATAAATATACTTTCAAACGACATTTAATAATTCACAGTAATAAAAAATCATTTAAATGCGACACTTGTTCCAAAGGATTTGTTCTAAAATCTTATTTACGAAGACATATAATAATTCACAGTAATGAAAAATCATTTAAATGTGACATTTGTTCAAAAGGATTTAATCATAAATCTAGTTTACATCAACATTTAGAAATTCATAGTAATGAAAAATCATTTAAATGCGACATTTGTTCCAAAGGATTTAATCTGAAATCTAATTTTCGAAAACATTTAGTAAGTCACAGTCATGCAAAATCATTTAAATGTGACATTTGTTCAAAAGAATTTAATCTAAAATATAATTTACAACAACATTTATTAATTCACAATAATGAAAAATCATTTAAATGTGACATTTGTTCAAAAGGATTTAATCATAAATCTAATTTACAAAAACATTTAGCAAGTCACAGTAATGAAAAATCATTTAAATGCGACATTTGTTCCAAAGGATTTAATCTGAAATCTAATTTACGAAAACATTTAGTAAGTCACAGTAATGAAAAATCATTTAAATGTGACATTTGTTCCAAAAGATTTAATTATAAATCTAATTTACAACAACATTTACTAATTCACACTAATGAAAAATCATTTAAATGTGACATTTGTTCAAAAAAATTTAAACATAAATCTAGTTTAAAACAACATTTAATAAAACACAGTAATGAAAAATTTAATTAAAAATGTAACTTAATGCACTGTAATAAAAAAACATTTAAATGTGGATTCACATCATTTGATCGCAAAAATAATTTAACGCAACATTTTGTAACGTATTAGCATTTTCAATTTCATAAAAGCTCCAATTGATTTACCCAGTTAAAAATGAAAATGATCCATGTGTAAACGTGTCCACTCCTCATAATATGTAGTTTTAAATATTAGTATTTTGTACCAATAGGTAGGCAATACTCATTACTTATTTTTCCTTATTGTAGTTAAATAACTATTTTCTGACAATAATATCTACTTAATATATCGAATTTGATTTTTATTAATAACGAAACTATTTTACAAAAGAAATTGAAACTGTTTGGTAAGATTCTTTTAAAATTATTTATTCCATTTAGTTTTCACATTGATCATCGCAGTAATGCATAAAATGGCTTTTCATTGTCTAACAAAATCACATACTTTGATTTTCTTTTACTATACGGAGAATGGTTGCACTGCGCAGCTTTCTGAGTGCCTTTTAAAAGGAGATAGAAAACTCCGCAATTTTGAACCCTTATTACGTGTTGCCTACATCTTGGCGCAATATTTTTAATAGGTGCGTTTTAATCATCCGCTTCTGCTTCGGAATTGTCGGTTTTCTTGTTTTAATCTGACAGGTTAAAACGACTAAACCGACAATTCCGGAAGCAGAAGCGGATGATTAAAACGCACCTGATATTTTGCTTACTGCTGTCAGTGTCAGTGAATATTTTTGAAGTCACAGTTTATTGCTAAAGAATCAGTTAGCTCACTCCTACCAGTTGAAAGTTCCAAAATAACATCCACTCCAGGGATACAAATTCAGGATACGCAGAAGACTGCTGTTTTATTATAGGCGGTTGGGTTCTGGTAAAGAATCCTGAGGTGCAAATTTCATAATTTTAGCATTAATATATTGAAATAACTTTTTATAATATTTTAACTGAAATTAAATATTGAAGAATACGTTTCATTTGCTATTTTTATTTATATTATAATAAAATGCAATAATTTGACTGATTTAACCTAACTTTTCATCATTTCCTTCCATAAAACCTAAAATAAAGTGATTCATGAAATTGTCAGTTCTTGACATATAATGTCCTCGAGTTTGCAACGTTGCCATACTATATTGTTGATTTTTATCACTGATAATTTCCAAGTATAAGATTTCTGTTTGAATGAGAAGAAAATAAGTTATAGGTGAAAATATAATGTGTTATGTGAGACTTTTCATTTCAATTTGAGCTGTGTCCAGGCCGTTGGAGTCTATGCCGGCAGGCGTAGCCAGGTATGGATTAAGAGAAGTCGTTCTTCCGTTTTGAGTGACAGAAAATTTAAAAAAAGTTGTCTAGGTATTACATGTTGAGTGATTTAATTAATTTCATTTTTTAATTTTGTATGTAGTTTTTTTGAGCTGCATTTTTAAAATTAATTTGTTTGATATATTAATTTTTGCATTTTATATACGATTATTACCGTACTTATCTTTCTAAACCAAACGAAAAATGTATGATTATAAATTTAAATAATCCTTAAACTTATAATTTTATTAACAACTTGGCAACGTTTGTTATTTTTAAGACAGAAACGTCAGAAACTGTCATTTAGAGTAATTGTTTTGTGATTATAACCTGTAAAATTGGGATTTTTAATTCAATTTTTTTCGAAAAATACTGCTTCATCCATAAATTTTTTTTCGAAAATTTACTATAAAAACTAGTTACTTTTGAGTGTTTAAAAATTTTTTTGTGAATTTCGCACCTCAGGATCCTTTACCGGACCCGGCGGTTGTCATATATTGTATTATCTGAGTTGCACAGTGTATAAACTGAAACATTGATATCAAAAGTGCCGACGCAGAGTGAGCGATCTGATTCTTTAGCTGTAAACTGTGTCACAGGGTTCAAAATGGCCGCGCCCTATGTTGGGCGTGTCGGACCTCTCTCTTGCCTCGTATAGTAATCAAAGTATGTGAACAAAATACATCCGATCTTCTTTATCGTTCTAATGAAGACAGGAGTGCGTTCATAAACGCAACCATACGTTAGAGCTTATGACGTCAGAGTGATGCGAAATTTCGGACAGAGCGTTGTTAGAGTGCGTTCTAAATATGAACGGTATCATGCATGAGCATGATACAAAAATTTCACGATAGGTGGATAGAGTGGAATAAAAATAACCTAAATTATAATCACATTTATTATTATAATGATTGGTCTTGGCGAAATATTAGTTATTCAAAATTTGTATCAAAATGTAGTATCCTTTTCGGAGAGTGAAGATGATTCAAGAAGAATTTATGAATATGATTTATCCCAAAAAAGAAAATTAAAGACTCCCCAACGGATAGAAAATTATTTAGAGAAAATTGTTCCAGGACTTAACGCCCAACAATTTCAAGAACATTTTCGAATGACCGTAGATGCATACGAAAGTTTATTGCGTTTGATTGGACCACAATTAGAAAGACAATCCCCAGTTGGACGTTTCACAATAAATGTGGAGAAACAAATACTAGCTGTGGTGTGGCTTCTGGCGACTCCAGAGTCCTATAGGTATGTATTTATTATTGAAGTAATATACAAACTATAATTATTTTCGATCAGTTGGCGAAAGATTTAATTTAGCAAAATCATCTCTCTCAATTTGTTTTGTTAGAGTTGTCAAACTTCTAAACTCTATTGCTTCTCAAGTTATAAAGTGGCCTGAAGGACAAAGACTCATTGAAGTTCAAAGAAAATTCCAGAATATTGCAAATTTACAAAATGTTATAGGCGCAGTTGATGGCACGAACATTAAAATAAAAGCACCCAAAGAGGACCCACAATCTTATATTACAAGAAAATGCAATTATGCATTCACTTTACAGGCAATTTCTGAGCCCAATCTTAAGTTCACAGATGTTTTTATTGGGTATCCAGGATCTGTTAGTGATATAAGAATTTTTAGGAATTCCGATATTTACCATGATGGGAAGAAACAACATTTTATATTATTTTCCAGACAATACTTATATAATTGGAGATAAGGCATATCCTGTCCTGCCATGGTGTATTCCTCCATATATCAATAGAGGTAACCTAACTCGAACACAAATTTATTTTAATAGTGTGCATGCCAAAACACGCCAGGTTATAGCAAGAACCTTTGCTTTATTATTTAGAAGATTTCGAAGATTAAAATTTCTTGATATGAATCGAAATGACCTTGATCCTGGAACAGTTGTAGCAGCCTGCGTTTTACACAATATTTGTAATAATGATCTCCGGATTGAAGATTACATTCAGCAAGGAGTTCCTAATATTGCAAATGAAGAAAATAACTTAATTATAAATAACATTCAAATAGAAGAAGCTGGAAGATTTCGAAGGAATCAAATATCTAGAGAACTGTATGCAAATCGAAATTAATTAAAAACTAAATGTTCTATATTTTTATTCAATGTTAATAAAATAAACAATTTCCTATTAATTTTGGATTTTAATAACCCAATCACAAAATAAAACAAAATATCCATTCTTAAAAATATCTTCATAAAACTAACTAAACTTAAAAATACAAATTATAACTAACTAAAAGCTATTCTAACATTATTTTTTAAATTTTTCCAACAGCAAATTCATTTTATCACTGAACACGTCGACTGCCCTGTTTCTAACAGCTAGTATTTCCTGGTGCCGACGATCTCTGTTTATTTCCCTTTCTTTATTTGTCATTTTCATTTCATCCCAGATGGTGAGAAGGCCTGTTTTTTTAGGTTGAATATTACCCATTTTCGATTTCACTTTACTGCCTTTTTCTTTGGAACTTTGGGCTGCTTCTAATACCTCTGCATTATGTTCATTAGACACTATAAAATAAATATTGGTATGTAGTTTAGGGCCGATTCCACCATTGTATTAAACGAAGTTTAAACTTCTAAACGAAGATTAAAATGACATTTTTACGTTAACAATGTCATTTTAATCTTCGTTTAACACAATGGTGTAATCAGCTCTTAGTAGCTTAATAAAATTACCTAACTGGCAGTTGCAAGAAAGTTCATTAAAATTATAAGTCTGATAGAAATTAAGAATGTTATGTCAGTCAAAGTTTGCTATATAGGTTCTTAAATTGTTACTTACTTGTATCACCTCTAAGTGAAGCTGCTATTGCTATTGGTTTAACGTTGTGTTTTTTTGCTAAAAAGTTATCCATTTCTTCATAGTATGGAAAATCAAGGGCTTCTTCGCCAGTACCTTTGTCACCTCTATTGTCTTTTACTGAAGTATATTTCGCTTTTAGATATCGCCACTATCATTGCATTGTGTAGGTATCATATTAAAACCATTCTGTTTTAATTCTTGTGCAATACGTTTCCAAGTTATCTCATTTTTATTGATAGTAGATTTGAATTCTTCGTCATATTTTATTCTTAAATCAATTAACATTAAAATGGCACTTTTTGACCACTTTATACGTTTATTTTCATTTTTTACATAGGAATCAAATGATGAACAACTTAATTCTGTCGATGTTTCCAAATTGTCATCTGTTTGTCCCACTGCTTCATCACAGGATTGCGTATTAAAAGCATTTATTATTTCTTGCGTTGGTTTTACAAAACATAAGCTTCCATCTAAAAGAAAAGTCGGTAACCTCAAATAACAATTATTCAAAAACTTACCAGAAATGCTTTGTAAACATATCTCGCCGTTTTCCGACGTTAAAATATTCCCATTTTCTAATGTAACTACATTAAAGTTGGAAAACGAACTCATTTTTGTTCTACCAAATTCCGAATTACAAAACCATCACCTCACTATCACAAAACAATCCAACGATCACCCAACGATCATGGAGGCAAAAGGGAAAATAATACTGCGCATGTCGAGTGATTTTTCGCCGGTATATTTCAACCGGTGATTTTTTGACACTCTAGGTGTACTCCGAGCGAGACATACAATAATTTATGAACGATTATAAATTAAACGCACAACCATTTATGAACGACTTTTGAGTGAATTATCGCACAGAGTGTGTCCAGAGTGCACTTTATGAACGCACTCCAGGTGGGATAGACTTTAGATGGACTGATGAGATGCTTCCGGCTTTCGGTATCGAGAAGTAAACGGAATTGAAAATATTTAATCCAAAGTTTCCTTTTGATTTTTATTATGCTTCGTGGTGAGTGCATCGATATGTATTCTGATTCTGAGTGCGACGATTTGTATTCTGAACGCAAATTGTTTCATAAAATCATGCAGTTGATAGCCGATAAGGGCAAAGTCTTTCTTAACTTGTACAATGTTGATGTACATATGAAATCCAGTTTCTGGCATTTAGGAAGAACCCCTTTTTAAAGGGGTTAAGTTAACTACAATGCTGTTAATCGAGCAGACATTCGCATATTTTTCTCTTATTTCCAGGGTTCTTTCTTTCACTGGTTCTTTCTTATGTTGCCTTTCATGTATTTGAACAATTGTCTTTCTCATTGGTGGATATTTTTCCACGGTTGCTGAAGCCCAGCTACCTTCAATCCACATCACTTTATTTTATAAGTTAACCCTCTAAGGAGGGAATTGTTTTTTTTTCTATGCACGTGTGCCTTTTGGAATTAATTCTTTAATAGCACATACTTCTATATACCTAATGTCGCTGATACGTGACATCTAATTTACAATTTTACTTAATTGCGGTGTTGCCAATTTTTTACTCTTACTCTTGTGCTTAACCTAATGACGCTTATACGCGACCAGTATTGTGTAAACATTTTGTGAATATTTCTTTAATAGGCTATTAATTTTTACTATCCAGTCCCACAAAGCTTTCATCGACTTTTGCTCGTTTTCTTGGTCGTTTATTACTGCGACCTGCTTGGAAATCCATAATAAAATGTGTCTAAACCAACACTGAAACGATTTCTACGCTTGCGCACGAGATCAATAGAGAGTTTTAGCAAACATCCGCTAACGTTACCTTAGGGATATTGTAACCTTAAAACGATTTTTTTTTTAAAGTACGAAGTTAATGTAGTTCGACAAGTATGATTTTGTTTTCGGTGATCTTGTCCAGAGAAAAAAACGTTTTCCTCCTTATAAACTACATGCCGCTAGCCTTTCGTCGGTGAGCACTATGGGTCGTAGGTACGATTAAATTAATATTAAAATTCAGATCAAAAGGGTACCCGGTGGCGCCACTAGGTTTGAGAAGCAGAAATTTAGAAAAGATGATTGCAAGAACAATGTCTTGTAAAGTTGTAAAAATTGAATGAGAGTGAAACCTGTAAAATAATTAAATAAAAAACCTTGAGTTCATATTCAATCTTTATTAATTTTATTCGCTGGATAAGATGTTAATTATATTTTATGATTTCATTTAAATTGTCAGACATCAGCTTTTGAATATACATGTATTACCTATACAACAGGTAAGCTGGTAGAGATGTTCTACAACCCTAAAGGGGTTTATAATCAGCCATCAAGCTATTCGAATACAGACACATTTCCCTAACTTTATATAATTATTTACAAAAATAGCATAAAGTATAAAATGCCTTGTTGATTGATACTAACATTTTCGCCCGTGGCTGGGACAACATCGGGATAGGTGTCTCGGTAACTTACCCTATTTTGTCACCAGAATATTCAACTCTAGGTGGGTAGTAAAGCTGTAGAGCTTCCCCATTACCTTGTCCCTATTAACCCTTCTTCAGTTTTGCATCAAGTGTGTTTGAACCTAGTAATGCTCAGTGTTTGTTATCTGATGAGTTATTGTTCTTAAAATATTTATTTTATTTTTGTATAGTAATCATGATTTTTTTCGACCTCGATTTTTTGACGGATTTTTATGTTTTGGAATCCCCTGAATCCGTTTTGACTATTTTCGCGATGCTGTCTGTGTGTGTGTCTGTATACTCGATAACTCATGAACAGATAAACACAAAAACGCCAAATTTTAAAATTAAGTCTTATTCCGGCCTGCGGTGAACTGATTAGATTTTGGGCACAGTTGGCACTTAGGGGGGGGGTACTTTATAGGGGGTCATTTTTATATTTTATGGAATATATTTGTTATTTACGGTTGAAGAAGAAAATTCTTTGAATAAAAGTTAATTCAAATAATATTTTCTACAATTTTTGTTATATACAAAATTTTACTAAAATGTTTCATATTCCAGAAATTTGACAAAATGTAAAAAATTCAAATTTTTATGAAAATTATTTAAATAAAAGTTGTTTGTGATACAATTTTCTATAATTCTTGTCTTATACATAATTTCTCGAATTCGAGATATTTGATAATTAGTGTAAATTTAGAATTTTGAAGAAAACTTGAAAGCTGATAAAGAAAAAACATTATTTGTTAAATTGAAGCGTTATTCCGACCTGTGGTGAATTGATTAGATTTTGGACAAAGTCGGAACATCTGGGGACGGGGGTACTTTGGTAGAGGTCGTTTTATATTTTATTGAATATATGTTATTTATGTTTGGCGAAGAAAATTCTTTAAATAAAAGTTACTTCTAATATTATTTTCTATAATTCTCACTTTATGCAATTTTTTCCATAAATGGACCGTTTTCGAGAAATTTGACAGAAGTTGTAAATTCTGATTTTTAAGAAAATTGGTAAACTAAAAGTTGTTTGCAATATCGATCTCTATCATTTTTGTTATTTACATTATTTCTTTAAAATGGACCGTAATAGAAAAACTGGAGGAAAAGTGTAAAATTAAATTTTTTCAGTGTTTTCATTTGCAGTGAATATATATCGAAAAATGTTTCGAGTTAGATGTATGTAAATGTATATATTTAATTTATCCTTTAAACATTTACAGAGTTGCAATAGGTTGTACAAAATAATCGGAAAAAGCCTGTAATACCTAGATAGGAAAGTCATGTGTTGGACTCATCAGATTTTTTCGTAAATGGTTTTCCAAAGTTCTTGACGTCTTTTTGACCTTTAATTACGTTTTTTTGACGAGAAGTCGTTGGTTTCGAGTGTCGTCCCATATTTGGCACCTAAAAGAATATCATATACAATTTAATCCAAATAAATGAATACATTGATATGAATATAAGAATTTTGATGTTTAATTTATTTTTAATACCCAGTATAGCTAGCTCAGCAATTATATATTTTATGATGAAAATTTAATTTAATTGAATTTTTAATTTTGGGTTGGGTTCACTCACTTATATATTGCACTATCAATAATTTAGATAATCAAAGGAAAGGAAAAATAAAAAAAAAATAAACTCACCTTTGAAATTTCTATTCAAATTTCAGTTCCAAATATTAATTTACCTGTCCTCTCTATGTTTGGCCTGATTACAAGTAGTCTAATTTTGATTCTAAAAAATAGTTAAAAAAATTAATAATTTAGAATAATAAATTTCTTATCTGCTTCTTCTTCTTCTCAGCCTTGTCTAATCGTTTAATCTGCACGTTCTTTTCTCTACTACTCTATTTATGCTTCGATCGTTCTGCCTCCTGTCTAATTACTGCTATCTCGCCTTACTAGTTTTCGTTTACTCTTTGTTTTAAATAAAATTTTCCTTTTACCTTATTTTTTATGTTCTTTATTCAAATCTTCATCTCATTACAATCTTAAACTTTCATAATTTGCATTTATCTCTTATCTTTAACCATCCTTGACAATATTACAACAAATTCCCATTGACAATTCTCCCCTGACAGTCCTTCATTAATTTCTAAAAACTTCCCAATTGACTTTTCCCCCGAAACATTGATTTTCATTTCTCTTTTCAAAACCAAACATAGAGTGTTTCTTTTTTGTTAACCAAATTCCGTCATAACATATTCTCGTCATGAAAATGAAGTACCTAACATGTTGCACACAAGGCTAAAAATTTGTAGATTTATAATTTTCATACCAGTTGAATAATAGGCTGAGCGCCCATATATTTGCAGGCCGCCAATAGCTTTAAAAATTACAAATACCTAACGTAACTACTAGTAAAATACTCACTACCCACATGAATAAAATGAAGTTCAATAAACTAACTCATGGCTATAAAAATAACTACAGATACCCAACCCAACTACTAGTAAAATAATTAGGTATAATACTCACCACACACAAGAACAAAATGAAGTTTAATAAACAAACTCAGTGATCAACTGCTGGGTAACGTGTAACTACCTATAAAAACACTAAAAAAACACAGAACAAAACTATGATAACTAACAAATAAGCTCAGACTGGATGAACAAAGAACTACTTAATAATATACGAACCAAAATAGATTTAAATGTTTATATTACATTGTCCTAAAAGTTTTATTCTGGTTCATAATAGTATATTATTAAACGAGCAATTTATGGTAGCCATTAGTCACCCGAGTGAATAATGGCCATAAATTGCGAGTCTAATACTATACTTTGTCCACGACCATTATGGTTTCTTTATTAACTGTTGTTTTTCCACTTTTCAATTTTTCGATTTTGAATTTTCGATTTTCCATTTTCGATTTTTGATTTATCGATTTTTTGATTTTTCGATCTAGAAAATATCGTTATGAAAAGTATCGCCTATCTTTAGTTATCTACTGGAATGTGCCAGAATTACAAAAGCGTGAATTATCATAATTCACTCCGTGATATATGCTTTTAGTTAGGAGGTAGAATATTGATTTATTATTAAGTGGTCGTGGACAAAATTATTTAAATACGGTCCCTATAGGTTCGATATTCTGCTGTAATGTAGTGTTCGTCTCGTCCGGCGGTACAATAAAATGTTACGAGCACTTTAGATT